ACTAACGAGGAAGACGACAGATAAAAGGCGTAAAGAATACCTCTAAAGTCGTCCGAACAAAGCTCAATGAACTCTACGGCTTCGATTTGACTCGAAACAAGCATTAACCATGTGTTCTCAAGGAAAACAAACTGTTAATGTCCGTTTCAAGCCCTATCGTTCAAGGGAATTTGAAGGATTGACAGATTCTTTTCTTCTTTTTTTCAGATTCGAAACTGGACTGATTTGGTGAGGACTTGGGGAAAAATAGTGGTGTATTGGGGTTGAGGGAAGGGCGATGGTTGCATGGATGAAATTTAGGTGGTGGTCGGAGCCGTTTCGCCGATGATAATGGAGGTTCGCTTAGAGGCGGCATTAGGGTTCGAACTCTCAGAGTTTGGAGAGGGTGAGAGACAAGGGCTTTGGTTTAGTTAAACTGAGGGGTTCAGACATAAAAATTGGGAATGGGAGGATTAATCTGAGCCATCAGATCTGACGAACGAAAGGTTGGGATTAAATTAAAACAATAGACCCTAAACGACGTCGTTTGGGTTATAGTGGGGCTTGGACCGGGTAGAGGCGGGTTTGAGCTGGAATTGTACAGGTCTGAGGGGGTCAATTGGGCTGAAGGAGGCTTAATTAAATGGCCCAAATCCGAATTTCCCTTTGTTTTTGAATCTTTTCTTTTTCAATTTCCAAATTTCTTTTATTTTCAAAATTAGAAATAAAACCTAAATTAATTATTAAAACTAATATTATCCTATCAAATTAAACTAATTAAACTCTAAAAATAATTACCATAACTAATTAAATACCAAATTAAAGAAAATTACCAAAATCCGAAATTAAAAATAAAAAGTACAAAATCAACTATATTTTTTTGATTTTTCCATTTTTATAAAACAGCTAATTTGTTAATTAACCCTAAAATGTGGAATTAAATCCTAAATGTGAATGCAACATATTTTTGTATTTTTCATTAATTAAATAAAATAAATATGCACAGGCAAATGCAAACATTTAACAGAAAATGCCACAAAATCCACAAAACTGTAAATAATGAAAGAAATTATTTTGTTTTGAATTTATGGGAGTAATTCATGTAGAGCAAAAATCACATGCTCACAAGAGGTACCAGGGGCAGCATGGAGGCTGTAGTTTGGCACATACCCTGGTGGTAGAATATGATCGCTCGTTGCATGGAGCGGTGGTTAAGTAGCATGAGGTATGGTGGAAATTCCCTTTGAGGGACCCTAGGGTGGAGGTCGGCCGGAAACCCAAGCTTGATATACATCTGACAGTTATTGTCTCAATTTTCTTATTTCCTCCGACTCTTGCTCAACTGACTGACCCTGCGGATTGTCACTGACCAACGATTTCATCACTATTATCCATTACCACTGCTCCCTTAGATCTTGTGAAGTAATGATGTGTTGTCAGTTTCACCACAAACCAACCACCTTAAGCTTACTATATAAGAGGCAACAAACGTGTTAAGGTTAAGCATTTTACAGATAGGAAGCACACGTAAATATGCTATGCTCCTAAAATATCACCATCTCTAACATGCTTTTGGAAGGTTTCATGTTTCATTCCGGCTTATCAGGTTGTCTCTTATTGACACTCTTATTTCCTTCTCTCTTTTTTCGCTTTTCCTTTCACTCGCCTTATTTTGATCCCTAACTTTAGAGTTATTAAAAAATATTTGATCGAACCTTTTATGGGTTGCCTACGTATCATGTCGTCGCATCAATCAGATCATTACATAGTTCAGGGACATGACCATATGTTTTTTATTTGTTTTTTTTAATTACAAAACAAATATCTTTTTGGTTCATTTTTGAATTTTTCTAAACAAATCTTATTCATTGATTTTCAATATATTTTTTTGATACAAGACTCAAAAAGCAATAATTACATAAAGATAAACAAGACCAGACCTGAATTAAATAGATTTTTTCGGATAAAAGGCAAAACAACAAGACTCAAAACACCAAAAGACTCTTATAGACTCAGAAACAACAAAAGAATAATGAAAAATGACTGGTAACTAAGAGAAGACTTTGATCTTTGTAGTAGAATACACTAGCATCACTGTAATCAAGGCGTTTGTTCTTGCGGCTGACCCCCTAACATTGCGGTATATCCTCTCCAAGTCCGCAGATATATGACGAGCAACGTTTAATGATACTTCTGCAAACCGCTCGGGCGTCATTCCCTGGAAACTCCTGTATGCTCTTGAGGTATATGTGGCTATCTCGAGGATCTTTCCCTTAATGTATTCCTAAGCCACATGCAACTCTTGATTTTGCTAACTAAGGGTCTCAGCTAGATCCAGTGCATCACGCTCGCAGTCCAAGGCCATATCTCTCAGGCGCCGAACTTCTAGTGACTCTGCTTCTAACCGATTGATCACCTTTTGGTAGTGGTGTCTTTCTATTTCAAACTTACCGATCTAGCGCTCCTTACTTGATTCAACTCCCTCTAACTGATCCTTTAAACCTTTGATTAGTGGAGCGTAACTCATGCGCTCATGATCACGGACTACCCTGAACTGGGATTCTCTCTCTTCTTGTTGCTGAGCGGTTGTGACTATGTTCTTCTTTCGAATATGGGCTTTGAGTGCTTGCTTCTCTCGTACCCACTGAGCTTTATTTTTCTCAAGAGCATCATACAGCAGATCCCTGTCTACTTTAACGATGTCGAGCTCTTCTTGCAGTGCTTCAAAGTCAGATTCATAACCCCTTTTCATCTCTTCCATAGCCAGCCCAACTTTGTTTCGAATCTCAACCTCCCACTCTGCGGTGCTCTTCACGAATGTCCCTGGTCTATCTGCAAGAGCATCTTGATTATAGAACCACTCAAGATAAGAAGGATTTAGCTCACCCCGTTCTCGATCTGCCACCATGACGCCACGCTCGAGTATCTTAGTGCCATTCCAAACACATTGAGCATACGCTTCACGAATGGGATCCTCTGATGCTGCTTCCCAGATAAAGTTTTCCATAGTCTCTACTGGGAGCACTATTTGTTTGTGACCCAACTGACGTAGAACTCTCATGGGAGCATATGGCTGATAACCTCGAAGCCCCATCAAGATCAGAAACGGATGGCAAGATGACTTATAGATGACATATTTTGCGGTGAACCAAGGATAGTTCCATGTAATCTGATCATCTGTTAAGGAGTATACTCCTTCCCATCTTTGACACTTTCTAGAAAACTACGAATCTCCAGCTCACTCTTCAATCTAGCATTATACTGGCGAACTTGATTACCCCAACAAGTACGGTGGTCTACCTGATAAGGACGACAGAAAAGATGGTCCATGAACCACATCTGGAGCAGGAGGTTGCAACCTTCAAAGAAACCTTTCCCTTCCCAGCACCTGGTCAATGCATGAAAGATATCTGCTAACACCATAGAAAGAATAAAGGAATCATTTATTTTCATCATGGCAGTGACTATCCCAGATAACCGAATGTTGATCTTCCAATCCTCTCTCGGGAAGACCATGCACCCCAAGAAAGCTACAATGAATGCTTTCCATCCATGGCCTCGCAATGTGCGTTGGTTCTGTTTGTTAATCAGTTTCTTCCTATATTCTGAGAACCCCCCTTCATGCAAGTACCTGTCATACAAGAAATCTAGGCAGACTTGCCCTTGCGCCACATGTGCTATCTCAGTGTGGCTGATCCACATCTGATCAAGGAACTTGGTAGCAGTGACATCTCTAGGGGCCAAAAGTCTCTTTGTTCGACTCTTATGCCCCAGATCTATATATTCAGCGAATTCCTCCAAGGTAAGAGTTATTTCAAACCCATTGAGACGAAACACATTATTCTTCGGGTCCCAAAAATAAACCAAAGCCTCGATGAGTTCTCGTTTGGGCTCAATCTCCATAATGTTTACCAAGTTTTTCAAATAATCTTTGATCTTTCCTTGCTCAAACCCATCCATGTTGTTCCACCATCGCTTTAATAAACTGGGCACTTTATTGACAATCTTAAACGGTGAGTGCTCTTCATCTCTCGGCCATATTGTACCTATATAAATAAATTTATGAGGTCAAGTCCTAATCTAAACTCAAAGAAATGACACCAAGCAGACTTTTGGATAAGACAACGGACAAACTTCTTATGGGAGGAGGGCTAGACTCTAGAAGGATTACTCAGGTATCTCGCCGAGGAAACAAAAATGGCCGGACAAAGGACAAAACGATAAAAGTGACGAAGAGGACAAGATGGTTATTTTTATGAAAATGGCTCTTCAGTACCTCCAAAAAAAGTACTAAGGCAGTCCCGGTAAAAACAATTGAACACATGGATAAGTGAGTTAAAAATAAATAAAGCTTATGTTTTATGAAAACACCCATTTCAAAAAAAATGTAAGGTTGACTTGGCAAAAATGGCCGATAACAAAGGACGGCATGACAAAAACAAAATGACTATTTTTACGAAAATAGCCCTTTGACACTTCCGAGGGAGGTTGAAAGGCTGTCCCGGTAAAAATGGACAAAAATAAAGACGAAATGGTAAAAGATGTTAAAAAGAAGCAAAGTAATCATTTTGTACGGAAATAGCCCTTCGGCGCTTCCGAGAAAGGTTTTAAGGCTATTTCGGCAAAAAAGGTTCAACATTGGGGAAAATGGTAAAATATTAGCTAAATTTATGAAAACAGCCATTCGGCGGTTCCGAAGAAGGTTTTGAGATTGTAAAAAATATGATCGGACGCAAAGACAAAAAAATGAAAAAGACAAAAAACAGCAAACTATTTTATTATTATTATTTTTAAAAAAAAATTGAAAAATATTATGGACACACCGATTTCGAAAACTCTTGCCAAAAAATGGGGACCAAACCCGATGAAAGTTGTCTACGTACCCCACTGGAATTGTGAGAATCGGACCTATGTAGTTTTTTTTTTTTTATCCCAAGTTCGAGTTTAACCACCATTAATCAGCAAATATATACATGAGATGTTGACTGTTGCTTAACTAACCACAAGCATGAAGCTTATAGTCTTGGCGATACCGGAAAGCTCCAGCATTACGTTTCAATATTGCATAATCTATTCAGTTATTACATATTATTACTATGTTAGTTTCTTCTCTTCTTCTAAGAGCTCACCAGGAAATTACAACATATATGTTGACTGTTGCGTAATATCTTAGAGACTTAGTGTGATTTCCCTAACTAAAAACAGTTTTTGACCATCAGATATCATGTCTGTGTCCAGGATCTTGGCTCCATCTTCTGAGACTACACAATTTGCTGATGAAACTCTCAACTGCGCCTTAGCTGTGTTAATGAGCTCATCAATGCTTTGTGGTACCCATAGAACTACTCTTCTTCTCTCGTTTTTGAGACTCCTGGGGTCTGAAGTGAACACTCTACATCTAACCCGCTGCCCTTCATCTTGTTTTCCAAAGCTCGTAGAAAATTCTGACAGTTGACTACCATGTGCATCTTCCAGTAGCTTAATAAGATTCTTGTTTCCACCTACTCGAGCTTCATCAAGTGGAGTTCTTCCCCACCTGTCCACTGCAAAGACACTAGCCCCAGCTTTTAACAGTAACACTGAAATTGGAAACAGCCCTTCTGATGCAGCTAGGTGAAGTGGTGTTCGAAAGTCATAATTTTTGGAATTAGGATTGATGCCGCTGTCCAACAGTCTTCTCAAATAATCTAGATCTCTTTTCGCGACTGCCTCACAAAGGCAAGTCCCATCATTATCTATACCTAGTAGTGCCCCTGCTTCCATAAGCAAAGAAGCCACTTGATCATGGCCATTCTTAACCGCTTCAAGCAATGCAGTGGAGCCAAACTTATCTCTAGCATTAATCTCCACTCCTCTTTGGATAAGGAAAACGGTAATATCTCCATGTCCCTTGGATGCAGCTAGATGCAGGGGTGATCTTCCATCATAATCAGTTCGGCTGGGGTCTGCTCCTGCACCAATTATACGACTTAGACGATACAAATCTCCATCGTGAGCTGCACAGTTTAACCTCATCGTGAGCTCAGATTCATGTTTCGCAATATTCAGTGTTATGTCTGAATCCAATATCTTGCTTTGAAGGCTTGACTCTCTTCCCTCAAGTAGATTATTGATGATTACACGCCCGCCAGAGAAGTATATCCCCAGAATCTCCACCAGAGCTTGTTTATCAATTCGTAGCAGTCTAGATAACTCATAAACTTGAACGGTATAAGGGACTGGGATGTTACAAAGAACAGAAATTTCACCAACAGAGTTGTAAGTGTGAAGATCCAGGAGAGATTCTTCAGTTTCATTTTCTTCTGGTTTTCTAACTTCTTCCTGTAGACAATACAAATTATGAACAAACAATTTACAATTTTTTTTTTGGACAAGGAAAAGCTGTAACAAACAGTCTACAGTTGAGATCCTGTTCAGTTCTTTGACAACCCTTTGTAGAAACACCTCGAGTATAACTTACTAATTACATTGTTTTGAAAATTACTTTTCATTTACATATCAATTCTGGAAGAAATTCTCTCTGGAAACACCTCGAATATATACATATATATATATATATAATATTCACCTATAAAGATGAGTGTGAACAAAAATGCAAAACGGATGTGATTTCATTATATCCTAGGAGACTACGCCAACCTTCTTTGTCTATCTCCATGTCTACCTTTCTTCGAATTTCTTTGCCTCGAATTTTCCAACTTGTAAATATTCTATATTTTGAAATGCCAAAAATGAAGTACACAACCTTCCTCGAGTATCAAAGACACACACACACAAAAAGGGCCTACTTCTTAACTTGAGACGAACTTTCTCAACATTACTGCAGATGACGATATTCAGGGTGTAGGGGAGGAGGGAACAGGAACTTCCATGCCAAAATTCTTCGGCTGTCCATTTCTTTGTTCTCCCTTTTCCTTATTCTTGTATTCTCCTTTATTTTTGTCTTTGTTGGACTTTACTTCTGTTGCCATTGTGCCTATCCATGTAAATAAAATGTATCTGCTTCTAAATTAAAGCTAATTGCTACAGCTACTGCTGCTTCCATTTTATTTCTCTGCCTAGGTTTAACAATCTTCCCTTAGGATATCGTTTAGTATAACAATGGAATTCAAAAGATGGAAACCATACCACTTTACCATGACAGACAAAATACAGTTGATCTGCCATGCTACCCTGTTCCATAATCACTTCCCCTGGAAGGAAAAATTCTTCATGTACTTTGATTGCAATCTGTTTGATAAATTCATGCGAGCAACCTCTGAAAAGTGGGACTCCTCTGATGTAGGGCTCATACAACTTTTGCGAAATCTTAGCTCGAATTGAAGCAGGAATATCCTGAAGAACAGAAGACTCATTATATCGGCTCTCACACTGTAATCTGACATAATCTTTGATCTCTTTGCTTATGCACTTCCCCAGCCTGTTTCTGTTCATATACTTTATAAGATCTGCCATTTTATCCTTGAACTTTTCAGTTTTGGATCCTTTTACAATTAATGCTGCCATGTTACCAAGTAGGTAGGCACCAAGAATCATGTCAAAAGAGACATAAATCATTACAAATATCATTTCCTTGGTATTGACTGCATGAATTACCCATAACCAACAGTTGCCATGGTGACAATGGATATCAGTTGCTACTCATCTAGGTGATCGAGAAGTCACAACAAAAAAATAAGGAAAGAACCAAATTGGTACAACCATCCCAGATATTTCAGAGGAGGAAAGAAAACTCTTGGATGCAATGGTGAGTTCTAATTCTGTAAATCCTACTGTTTCTAGCACTGGAATGTTGAGTAAGAGCAGGAACAAATTGCAAAAAATAGAACATCATCAANATTTTATTTTTTTATTTAGTAAATTTGAATTATCTGTATAAAACTAGGGGAATGATTTTTTTTTATTTCGCTCAACTAATTTTCTAAAGCCGGTCAACAAATGCAAGCAAGCTTCCAAATGATGCAACAAGTAGCACATAAGTGAACATGATGGTCACAAAAAGGATACCTGTCTTATACGGACGACCCCTGTGTCGAGCTTCGCTAAGTCAAATGCGCATGATGTAACGAAACGATCCTACTAGGGATAACCAGACATGTGGCTTGTTCTTCTAGGTTTTTTAAAAAATCCTAGGGGATGAGGTGTATCTAGACTAGCCATAAAACGAGAGGACAACTCGAGTTAGGAAGGGGTAGCGTACCAGGAGCAATACTTCTCCGGCTTAACTACTGTACCCTCCCCACTCTTAAATATGGGTGACTAATAATCCTTCACCGTGAGCCCAAGCCCACCGGCTTTATCTCAAGAAAAGAATGGGGTGTGTATCCGCGATTCCCGAGGTTGTATTCAGAAGACTCAGAGGGATGCACAAGAAGACAATTTATAATACAGTTCAACAATATCAAAGCAGTAAAAAGCAGGAAAGTAGCACATTCGGCCCAAATAGATCACAGTTATATACAAAAACTTAATGAAGCCAAATAAAGTCAATGTACAAGCTCGAATTCTTGAGTCCCCAGCGTAGTCGTCAGAGTTGTCACACCCCTTTTTACCCCTCAAAAGATATGTATATGTATTTGTGGGTTAAAGAGTTTTTCCAATTAAAGTGACAAATTTGAGTAGGGATTATTTTATTTTGGAGTTAATTTTTCGGTGTTCCAAGTCACCATTTATTTGAATCCCTAGTCAAAGGAAGGTTTGACTCTATTTTATTGGTCCGCAAAAATAAAGTTCGGGTAAGGAATTTTATTGACCGGGAGAAGGTGTAAGGCACTCCCCAAGTCCCGTGGTTTTAGCACGGTCGCTTTATTGGCTTAAACTTGGCTTTAATTAATTATGGACAAACTGTGATTTACATGATTTTTCATGTTTTATCTATCCGCTTTTATTTTTTAATTACTAGAATAAAAAAAGTAATTTGAATAGTATTACACTGTCATAACCACGTTATGCAAGCGAATGCGTGATCGAAAACAAAATTAATTAACTTGTCGTAATTGCGCCTCGCAAGCGAATCCGAAATCATGACAATCAATTTATTTGTGGTACTTTTGAGAATTTACTACATTAGAGAAAATTAATTATTGAAAGTCAACTATTGCGCTATGCAAGCGAATCCGCGAGTTTTAGCAAAGGATTAACTAAGTTAAAAATTAACTAAATTTAGTGGGTATGGTATGAGATTATTGAATTAATTGATTGAATGTTAAACATCACGCTACGCAAGCGATTCCGTGAGTTAAAGCGCGCCTACGAATTGCCTAGCGTTTAAATCAATTAATGAAGAAAGCGACTAAATTATTAAATTATTTTAATTATGGAGCAGAATCGGGTTGTGGTTGGTGTTGGTTTAAGAAATCAACAATTAAAAACTTGGGCTATCTCTTGGTTATGGATAAATAAGGCTAACTCCTAAAACTTTAATGGTATTGGGCTCCTTTGTTGATTTATCATGAAATGGGCCCAACGGAAAATATCTACAAAGAGTGGCCAGCTGCCTTTTATCATTATCATTATTTTATTTTATTTTTTAGAAGAAAGAAAAATGGGCCAGCTGAAACTACTTAAAAACGGGCCTGCTGGCATGCTTAACACTAAATGGGCCTAGCAGAAAATATTTAATTGGGCCCATTTATTCAATTCCAATCTTATTTCTCAGCCCCAAAACTATCAATTATACTTATTAACTTAACATAAATATTCAAACACTGCACTAATGTACGTGAGGCCAAACAGTCAATAAAATATTACTAGAACTTTTCCATTGTTCACATTATTGTTGACATTAATTCAATGGATTCTACAAAGATATCTTTTGAATAATATCACTTGTCAGAAAATGAACTTAACTAGAAAAGTATAACATTAGCGAATCACAAACCATATTAAGACAAAATTAATCCACCAACATAGCTTCTACTTTAATAAACTAAACAGAAAAAAAATCATGCTACAAGACTTCACTACTTGTTTTAATTCTTGATGTATTGCCATGAATTCCAGATTTTAAATCACTATTTATACCAACAACATAAAGATATCCAAACAAGATCACAATTATACACAAACACACAATTAAAAGGATTCAAGATAAACTAGCAGCATGGTCATTGAAAGCTAAGATATTACAGCTTTAAATATTGATACATGGAATAAGCTATTCATATTCCTTTTGTAAGCATGAACTCATACTCATAAAGCACTAAATGATCATAAACATCCCAAGATTATATTTTATTTCTTGTAACAACCATAGCTACACTAAAAGGTGAAAGGAATACCTACTAGGAGCAGAATAAACTCACGAGCAAACCAACGGCAACACACTTTAAGCAGCAGCAGCAGTATCCAGCAAATGAAACCGAGCCTATGCAAAAATTTCAACAGAAAAACTCAAACAGACTTTCAAGGAAAGAAGAAACAAGAGACTCGCGTCACAGACCTTTGTATTTTTAAGATATTCCTTTCTCCTAGATACTCAAAAAGGCTCTCAAACTCTCTATTATTTTTTGTTCTTCTTTTGAGTGTCCAGGATGTCCAGACTACTCCCAGATGATATGGAAAGACCTCCCTTTATAGGAGAGGACTTTTGGGACAGATTTTATTTTAGCCAAAAATCTGTCCTAAATGATAGATTTTTGACCAAAAATCTGTCCAAAACCAGAAATCTGTCCGATGATCAGTTTGCTTTACCAACTGTGGATAGAATTTTGGAGTATTGTACTCCAAAACAGTTCGCAACATTGAAAAGCAAACAGATAAAGGTCCTACACTCAAGTACTCTCTATCTTTATCAACAAATAGCTGAATTTAACACTCAAACCTTCAAACTAACCAAACTATGGATTGATACAGCAAAAACAAGACTTAAAAGGTAACCGAACTAAGTATTCAAACAAACTAGATTCAAATCAATTTGATTTGTGCAAACTAACATGAAGCGATTGAGATTACAAACTATCGTGCGGAACAGAAACTAAACGAGCATTAATAAATTATCAAACATGACTAATAACAACTTAACAAACGACTAACTAAATAAACGATTCAACTAATCTTTTTGATTTTTTCATGAAACTAGCATAAAACACTTAACTATCAACCGGCTAGGTCGGAAAACTGAAAATTCAAACTTAACAAATTCACACAAAATAGTCGACCGGCTAGGTCGAAGGACCAAAAATCGGGACTAATAGACAATAACGAACCACTCAACCGGCTAGTTCGAACAACAAGAATTCCATATATAACTATACTAACACATAGAACGATCACATTCGAGCACTAATAATCAGTAAAGACTAATAATTGAATGACAAAATTACAAAAGATGAATTGAAAACCAAAGCATGGTATACTGGCCGAGAGTAAGAAAAAAAACTAAAACAAAAGGATGAGATTTGGTATTTACCACTGCTCGAGGCGACGATTCCCATCTTTGAGCACCCTTTTCTTGATGATAGATGATGGTTCGGCCATCCTTGAAATCACAGCCTTAGCGCCATCATCGTATCACAAAGAAAAGAACGCTTAAGAGTCGGGGAGGAAAACTGGAGGAAGGCGTGGCAGCTTGGTGGTGGTAGCCGGTAGTGGCGACGGTGGACGACGGCGTCGGGTTTCTGTTGGAGTTTTGGGGTAAAAACCAGCATAGGATGATAGATCATGTGGAGCTCTACACGCCTATGTAAGTATTTTATGAAGGAGAGGTCTAAAACTCGACGAATTTTCAAAATAAAGTGAGCTAGGTTTCGGATTTTGGTTTATTTGTAGAGTTTGGGAGGGATTCAAGGGATTTGGTTCGTGGATTCATGAAGAGGAAGAGGAGAAGAAGAGATTGGCGTTGGTTGGAGGATGTTTGGCCACCGGAGGACGGCGGCACCGCCGTGGGGGACGGGCAGCTGCGGTGGAGGAAGAAGAAGAGAGGAGAAGGGGTGGGAGAGTGAAATGAAGCCAAAAATTTGATTATTGGGCCTTTTATATGACAGATAAAATTGATTGCAGGCCATTGGATCATGGATAATAGAAGGCTGAGGTTTAATCTTGAATACTTAACCAAAAGGACGTTGTTTCGATATAAAACTACATCGTTTCGACCCTCCTATGGCAGCCCCATTTGGACCGGATCTGGGATCTTTGGGCTTCTAATTTTGGCTCAATTTCAATTAAAATACACTAGCTCAATCCCTTAACCCCTAACTATCTTATTTAGTCCTAAGGAAAATATATAAGTAGAAAGAAAATCTTTTTGGGATATATAATTTAAAGATGCAAACTAAAATACACAAATAAAAGGTAAAAAAATATTTTTGGTATTTTTAATAAAGGAATGTAAATAAAAATGCACAAATAACTAAAAATCATCCAAATATTAGTATTTGTAGGAGAATTAGAAGCGAGCCAATATTTTGCATATCATTCATATGTATTTATATATGTCGTGTATACGTGACAGTATGTCTAGTGATACATTTTGGACATACAAATGGCATATACCCGATAAAATACATACAATTTATTTATACATTTGGATCTTAAAAAATAACATTATTCCTTTTCCTCTTCGAGTTTTAATATGAAATTTCAACCAAAACTAACTTTAATTTTCATCTAACTCCTTAAAAAACGAGATATAAACTCCAAATGATATTTCTAATCGTTCGCAACAACACCACCCAATCCAAAGTACATGCAAATAACAATTTCACATAACCCAATTTTCGAATTTAAAGCTTCAAAGCTTTTAATGACTGCAAATAAAGTTTTAGTGGAGTTTACATCTTTATTATAGTTTTAGAGCCATTTATAAAAAATGAAAAAATTGTAATTGCTTAACTAAATAAGAATTTCTTTGAATCTACTATAAAAGTTCGATTATACATATCATGTGCATGTGTAGCCAATCGTTTTGGTCTTGCTTCAAATTTAAAGGCTTAGGATCGGAACTTTTTTGCGCTCAAGTATGATTTTGAGTACTAAAAATTTATCACTAGTAATATACGGTTGTGCTTGGTAAGAAAGAGAAAGGGAGAGAAAAAAAAAGATTGGAGCTTAATATATTACTTTGAGTGTAATTGGTAAATATAGTTATGTCAAGTAATTAAATGAGGACATAATTAATAAGGTAATTAAGTTGATCATTTTACATGTATGGTAAAAATATTCCTTAATTTTAACGGATACAACACTCTCATTTCAAGAGGAAGCGGATACCCAATCATCTCTCAGTCCAAAACACGGGCTAAATTAGCCGGTTAGCCATTTTTCGTGAAACGAAACGAGAAAAAGAAATAAAAAAGGGAATTTTTCATAAAACACCATCTTTTTGGTCTAATTAGCCATTTATAGATACCCTTTGCTATATTATATGTTATAAATACCTTTTATATTTTTATACAATGTATTTCATGTATTTAAGCTGTTGTATTCATTAATACAATCAAAAATATAGGCGTAAAATCTGGAATTCCAGCTAAGTTTGACATGTATTTAGCTGTATTCAAGCGACATTAACATTAAATACAGTAACCTATCTGCGCTAAGAACGGAAGAAAATAAAATCACATGATATTCTCGTAATTTAACTCAACGAACTAAAACGATCCCTCATTAATCTGTATTTGAAAGATACATAATAAAGATTATAGCTGAATAAAGAGAAATACATATGAATAATACAGTTGAATACAACAAAATACACCTTAATTCATCTGAATAAAA